TGTTCCTTACTTGTCTTGCATAAGCAAGCTCTATGGAGTCCAAAGCAGTACGCCCAGTCATGTTCAGAGAACTGGTAGAAAAGACCTGTAAAAACATAAAATATTTCTCAATAATAATTGAAGGTTCTTAATTACTTCTCAAGGAGTGTTATGTAAAAACATTTCATTCAGTAATTGTTTTTCAAATTTTTAGTTCCCTATATTAGTTGCTACTGCAAATAGACCTTTTTTGAGTTTCAAATTATGGTCATGTTCCTTGATTACAGACTCATTTACTCAGGGTTTAACTCATATCAGTGTCCAAATATTCACAAATACCAACGGTAAAGTAAAGAATGCACAACTTCAACAATACAAGCATTTTGAAACTTGATGTTCCTTGATTACAAACTCATTTACTCAGGGTTTACCTTGTATCAGTGTCAAAATGTTCACAAATACCAAAGGTAAAGTAAAGAATGCACAACTTCAACAATACTTTACAAGCACTTTGAAATTCCACAGACCTTCCCAGAAACACATGAATATTCTGCACAAACTCCAGGCTAACCCTGAGCAACAGAGAACTCCAAACTGGAGTATAGAGGCTTTGCACCATCGCGTGATGGCAGCCATGACAGGAGGCACAACAACAGAGTCGTTTTCCCCTGGGAAACTGAATTCTTTCTCATATACAATCACTTTAGACCAGATTCAATTGTTCCTGTCTCCTGTCATGGCTGCATTCACATGATGGTGCAAAGCCTCTATAGACACTCTATCCACCTGGGTTTGCATACTGTTATTTTACAACAAAATTATTGATATGACTTCACCGAGGTGAACAAAGTGGTCAAATAAACTATAAAAATCTCCCTGAAAATAATTCAATAAATAGTTCTTTCTTGCCATTTACCATTTCAAATTAAATCTATGATTTGAATTACCAAAAGAAAGTTATGATCTCTGTTCATAACCAAATTGAAAAATCCCTGTTTTGTAAGGTAATACTTACCTCTGGTTCAGATGGGAAATCTAAAGCCTCYTGTCCTGCACCAAGCAATGAATTAAGAATCTTTTCCTTCTCTTTCTCCCATTCACATTCCATRCAATTCCACTGATGTTTCTCAGACTGCCTGAACGTCTGTAACAAATGACAAAATAAAATTGGAAGTTTTTTAACAGAAACACAGCAAGTTTTCTTGGTACTTTCATTAGTATTTTTTCTACTTACATTCTTTCTTGCTTCTTCAATAGCTGACAGTATTGCATTTTCTCTTTCATTCCTCAAAAAGCCCTGTAAATTTCACGGGAACAAATATAAATTGAAGCGATATAAAGTGCAGATGCATGTTGCTGTACTTAGGTATAAACATGTTGAGTCAAGGTACCCTCAGTAATTTAAGTATATTATCATAATTATCCTACAGTATATCTCACTATAACTTTTAGAAAAAGGCTTTACATATAAATACAAAATAAATCTAGCAATGAGTCACATGTTATTCTCAAATGGTTCACAATATTCACATACACATTATTTCCAAAAAATATTTGTGTAGTTAGTTGCATGAGAAAAATAATTAGGGTTGGTAGGTCGAATTATTTTATTTTTTACTGATACAACAGTGGAAATGAGCTTACTGGGAACCCTGTGGTGCATTTGGGAATAAAAAAATATTAGGGTCGGCAAAAATTGGCAAGAAAATTAAGGTTGCTCACTCAACAGGAAACACACTTATTTTTTTGTTTGTCCTTAGCCTCGATTTGGAATCATTGTTTCATGGTCACTCAAGCAAATTTAGCAATGGTCTTATGATTGTATCAGATCATTTATACCTGGATATTTGTTTCTCTGACAGGTTCAAGAGGTTCAAATGTYTTTGTTGTGTCCAGCTGTTCAAGTTTCTCAGATAGCTTTGGAACATCAAATCCCTTGGAGCCTAACAGTATGGACCTTAACAGGAACAAAAGCAATCAGTTTATTTGTTTGTAAAATGGTACAAAATTTAATTATATGATGTTCTTTTACTCACTCAAATCAAATCAGATCTCTACCAAAAGCCTGTTATTGACCTATGCAACCTCTTTCATAAACACCCACACATTAAATATAGGCACCTTGCTATTACATATGGTAGTTTTTGTCCCAGAAAAAATGCAWTTTCAATAACTATTAAATAAATAGACCATTTTAGAGTTTCAGATTACTGCTGTGTTCCTTGATTACAGACTCAATACYCAGGGTTAGGCATGAATCAGTGTCTAAATATTCACAATTACCAACAGTAAAGTAAGGAATGCACAACTTTAACAATACAAACACTTTTAAATTCCACGGACCTTCACTGGAATACATAAATRTTCTACACAAAAGCGAGGCTAACCCTGAGTAACAGAGAACTTGAAGCTGGAGTATTTGATTATATGGATATATTATGTCATTATATAGGAATAAAGATAATGGCTGTTCAACAAAAACTTCTTGGGCCAGTTCTCTTAACCCATCATTGACTGKTCACATGTTGATCAGTCTTTAGTGGCTGGTCATCATGTCTGGCCATTGRGCAACCATTATTTTTATTTAGCCCTGGTATGGATACTATTTCTGGTCCCTTTGATGTCAATTTGATTTTTATACAACTTTATTACTCAATTGAAAATTCAAATTTTGAAACAATAACTATTTTGCAGCTTAGAGAACAATGTTAAAACCATAAACGTTTGTAACAGCCTACAAATTGTACAAATAAAGACAACTTGGATCACTTCCTGATTGGATCAGATGTCGCTACACATGGATGGGGAACGCTGTACGACTAAGTTTACATATCTTGTTGTTCAGAGACCGCAATTTTTATACTTACGCCTTAACATCAGCACTATCCCCCACAGTCCCTGTAGTCCTGGACCACAGCCTTGTTCCTGCTTCAGCCAACTGATGAAGATTTAAGTCAATTCTTGGTAAATCTCCACCGGTGTCCATGTCGGCCGTCAGTTGCTCGGCTTGCTGGAGTAAATCACTGAATGTTGACGACATTTTGACTGCTTGCTCTTGGTTCAATAGCAAGAAAAAAAACAAGTGAACGGAATTTAAAGCAAAAAGCTTTTAATAACCTTTGCTTTTGGCGGTTCCAGATATTTTTTTCAAGGAATTAAACAGTTAATTTTTGAAGAAGTTATCCCAAATGTTTCATAAAACCCGCCATCTTGTCCGCCATGTGAGTCGAACTGAGCATGCGCAAACCAACTAGACCCAGGGGTAATTTAGCGCGATTTGGCGGTTAGGACTTCATATGGTGGAATACCATATAGTCGCCCTAATGTTATTGATTGCAGTGAATACACATGATTACAGTGAACACACATGATCACAGTAAATACACATGATGACAGTGAATACACATGATTATAGTGAATACACCTGATTGCAGTGAATACACATGATTACAGTGAATACACATGATTACAGTGAAATGATGCAAATGAACGTATAGCAATGAAGGTAAAGCTTAAGGTTTATAGAAATAACATTAGGGCGACTATATGATATTCCACCATGAAGTCCTAACCGATTTGGCTAGCTAAGAGGTAACCCATCTCAAGGACTTCAGAAGAGTGTAGGTTGTTGAATATTATTCACGGGACGGGAGGGAGTGAAGGAAAGGGATGGAAGGAAAATGACGTTCAGGAATAGAGGTTTTAGTGACAGTAAGTGGAGCTCAGATTGAGTAAAAAAAATGGAGAAATAATAATAATGATAATAAAAAACCCTTAAAATTTGGTGTTTATCCACTTTGGACCATTTATTTGGCATGCCATTCTCTTGAACATCATTTCTTTATATTTGTGCTCTCTTGTTACCGCGTTGCCTGTGGCAGCCCAGTCTAAAAATGCGTTGCGTGTCTTCCGTATTTTCCTGCGTCAGAACTGCGTCAGAAAATGTCAAAATTGCRCAATAGTACTACCCAGGTGTCTTCACGGCACTACCCAAGAGTCCTTGTACTTTCTGATTTATATTCAAATGCTAATCAATGTCTAATTTATCAAAGTGATTGATTGGGGGTGGGGCTGCAAATCACGTGTCCGAAATTATGTTTACGCATATATTCTTTTTTCGTTAGTTGCTTAATTCAAGGCTCAGTACAAATAAGGAATTACGCGGGTGTATAGACTGACCAAGAAAGTTCAAGATGCCGTGAAAAGATCTTTCTTTTATTTGTCTACTCAAATTGTCAATTTAGCTCCTCAAAGCAGTATTCTATACAGAAAAAGTTTTACTAAGTCATTTTACCGGCCAGATTTTTATTTTGAGATTTTTAAAGATAAATGGAACCGCCGGTCATTTAGTGTTTTGAAACTCTTGACCGGCTACGGTCATTTAGACACTCCTATATAAAAAAACCTGAAATGGAATTTAATTTAATATAATAATAATAAATAATATAACAATTTGATGGATTTGGGTAGACAGGAATAGGTTAGTCAAAAATTGAAGAGCTTCACTATTCTATCTTGGATTATATTAAAAATCAAAAAAGAAAAACGAAAAAAATGGAGCAAATGCGTGAGTAGGTACAATGTTTAGGTCACCCATCCAAGTGCTAACCTTCCTCAGACGAGCTTGACTCAGTATTTTGAACGA